CTCGCGTTCCTTGAACCTCCGAAGTTCTTCGGTCTTGGAACATCAGCACGTGGGACGGATTGCACCGGGACTGGTCCGCTAGCCATGGCTCTCTTCACGAGAGTGACCTCACTCTTGAGGTCTGCAATCTCCTCCTTCACGCCGGCCAGCTCAGCCTGGACTTGCTCTTTCACAACTTCAAGGGCGTTGTTCATGGAGGCGGTGATGGTGTTGTTGATGAGGGCCACAAGCTCTTCCCGCATCCCATCATGGTTGATCTCCAAGCTTGTCAACCTACCAGCCATTCCTTGAACATCTCTTTTGACTTGGGCGAAGTTACCTCCCAAATCCTCGATGGTAGTGATATCTTCCGCCATCTTCACTTCCATCCTCGAGACTCGCCTTTCTAGAGACTTGAGAGGATCACGAGTGCTCGACGTACCTTTTGCCCTCTGGCCCGGTGTGGGCTCTCTTCCACGCGGCTTCTCAGCATCGTCATGGACTTCTGATCCCGACATTTTTGGTGAGGTTCTTCCTTTCCTTCTGGCTCTAGGTTCAACTTTGCTAGCACAAAGCCGAACCAGGCTCTGATACCACTTGTCACGACCTTACTCTCGATCGTGCGACCCTAGCTCTCAAATCCGTTAGAGCGCTAGGCAGCCTTTCTCTCAACTCACTTGAAAGCAAAGAACAAGAACAAAGACAAAGGAAGTGGGAGAACTCTCTAGTGTGTATTACTCTCAAAAATGATGGAATGAGTTACAAGTGAGGGAGATGGCTCCTTATATAGGCCTCTCCTCATACAAGGCATCAATGCCCCTCATAATGGTCCCTCTACATCAATACACCCCATAAAAGTCCCCCCATAATGCACTCTAATAATGCTACCCATAATGTAGCCCATAAGTGCACCATTAAGCTCTCATTTAGGTGGAGAATCCTAGGAGCATCTCTATGCTACTAGTCTTCCACACATGCCACATGTGCAGCCGCCTTGTTGTCACCTTGTTGGCGCCATGTCATCGGCCACATGTGACAGCTTCCCATGGAACCATGCCAGCTAGGAATGAATGGGGTGGGTATCTCAATACCAAGGTTCACGTGAATGCGAGACAATGTGGGATTAGTCGACTTAAGAAATCAACAACTCGTATGTTGCTGATACGAGAGCATGTGTCTAGGAACTCTAGGAGGAGCTTACCTGCGCAACACCTTCCTCTCTTGTCTTCTTTCACTGGCCAACTTAGTATACATTTCCTGTCCTCCACTTGCTTTCCTTTTCACTTTTTGTTTTGCAAAACATGAGTCAACTCAACCTCCTGCATATGCTTTCTAAAATCATATAACTCGTCTCTCACCACCTGAGTAAGTGGTTGTGAGAAACTCTAAGGACTACGATCATGACCTTTGGGATAGGTAAATTTGAACCACGTACTACACGCGATCAAATTTTGACACCATTGCAGGGGTTCGCTAATGAAAATCCTGTCCAACTTAGTATACATTTCCTGTCCACCATTTCGAGAACTCGATCTTAGAATATGAAGCATTTTCATGGGTTCGCTAATGAAAATCCTTATGACCATCTCGACAAGATCCAAAACCTATTAGTATTTGAACGACGTTTTAATATGGAACCTAAATACATACTTGTAGGTCTCTTCTCCTTTTCCCTCAAAGGAAGAGCGAAGAAATGATTTGACGACCTTCCCTCGAATTCACCCTTACGTGGGTGGAGCTATCCCAGACATTCGTTGATAAATACTTTCCACTGTGGAGAGATAATATGCTAGCAAGTTGAATTATAAACTTTAGGCAATAGGATCAAGAACCTCTGTATGAGGCAAGACAACATTACATGCTATACGTTGATAACCACTCCAGCCATAGATTTGACCCAGTCCAGCTAGCACATATGCTTGCTGATAGGTTGAATCATGAATTAGAACAGTTCTTGCATTTTGTTTCTGGAGGTAACATTTGGGAGGTGCCTAATAACCAAATCCTAGGTCAATTCACGTATGTTGCCGAGCTATCCCATAAAAGAAGGGTGGTTGCACCTCTGGGCAAGAACTCTTCTTTCAAATGGAAAACAAACAAGGAGTGTATTCTTGACCAACCCCAACGCATGAACACACCTAGACCAACTTATGGTCAGGTATTCCCCACACAATCACCATTGGCCGAGAGTGTCAACTCCATCATGAACGAGTGGGACTCAGGAAAAGGATCAAGAAGGGGATCAAGCTTGTCGCCCCCTTCAAACATTTCTCCATTCGACATAGAGCCTTAAAATAATGAAAAACAATTAACGAGATGGAGACCGAGCTCACTCTAGTTGAGTCACACCCCACAAACTTAGAAGTTGAATTGATCAACTTTAACCGAGCATAACACATGGATTATCTGGGTGAGGAGATGAGCCTCAAGCCCAAATCAAATAAAGTTAAGCCGACTACCTATTACAACGCTGACTCTTGAGTCGTTACGTGGCAATGATCAAAAGCTACCCTCGGAAACAACTTGAAATAAGACCAATATGATCGAGAGAAATCGGGCAATATGAGTGAAAAAGGAATCACGAGTTGGGTCTTATTCATACATAATGTCCTTTATCTGGCTTCAAACTTCTAGACCTTGTGTTTGGGGCAACCACATGCAGAAGGGACTCGTACGAAAGAAAATTCTCCCCCTTGGGGAGATCCAAAAATTGCCGCCTAATTTAGCAAGCCAGACCGCCGAATTGGGCTTCTGGCCTCCGTTTTCTTTGGATTGAGTCAAATCCACTTTCGATCGGCATGGACCCCCGGACGAACTTCTATCCTCGTACAAAATTCCTTTTTGCATACCCAATTAAAAGGGAAAACTTTTTCCACAAGAAAAAAATTATTAATTTCTAATTCCTTACTTTTTATGGAAAAGGGGTCTTATCTCTGTATATACCCCTTCCTCTACCCCAATTTTGCATTGTGAAAAACATCAGAAGCAGAGGTTAACACCAAAATAGCGAAACATGAAATCACTCCTTGTTAGAAGAGAAACAACGGTCAAAACGAAGAAAATTCACTCATAAATGGCGCCAGGACCACAAGTTTTCAGGACGAACAAAATCATGCTGAGCTTATTCCCACAAGTACCCATGATTTTCTGACAAGGTTGGGCGGGGAAGAGACAACACTTCCCATTATGAAGGCAATAATAGGAATGCCTAATCCCATTAAGGCCATGAAGGATCTAGTGCATAAAAAAGAGCCTCCAAACCTACCCCGCAAAAGATAATAACTAAAATTTACCCCCAAACATGCATATCAAGGATCTTTGAAAGAGCTTGACCCGAGAAGGTTATGTATCCCCTAAAAAATTTATGGATGCCACATACATGATGTGCTTATCTATATCGTGTCCAACATTAACATAATGTCGGTTGGTTCATATAAGAAGATAGGAGGGGAAGATGTGGAACCCAATCCCATTAGCATTCAACTAGCTTATGGCTCCATATACTATGCAAATGGCTTACTACGTAACATCGAGATTACAATAGGATCTTTGATCTTCAATTGTGACTTCGTAGTAGTAGACATGTAACTCACATTACTATACTTTCCCCTACACCAAACCACTTTGATGTCATATGTGGTTAGCATATTTGGCGGCTTGTGTTTAGTGACTGGAGTTGATTTTACGAAGACTTATAGATGGCGAGGATGATCAAGTTATAGAGTTGTCATTACTGTAGAGTTTCAAAGTATGTATTTGTTTCGACCACAATGCTTGATTGTGAATTTAATTTGATCCCAACTTTCATAAAGTTAGACTTGGTTGTATTTCTATTATTTTCGAATGGGTTTAAGGCATCTAAAATTTCAGGAAGGCTATAAGCACAAGACAGCCGTTGGGGTCATGTTTAGCGCCTAGCACACTTAGGCAGCATGAAAACATGCTTAGGTGTTTTAACCGAAAATAGCAGATTTTAGTATGAATAACAATTTTATAGCACTTTTATATTTATGTTCAAACGATTAACAACTTAACTAACTTTGAATAACAAACAAAATATATCATGATTTTATAAATCACAACTTCATAGAAAGATAGAAATACAAGTTCTTGAAACAAGTTCATAGAAACTACAAACACATAAAAACAAGTTCATTCATCATCATCATGAAAATATGTCTGTCCAACCACCATTTCATCTTCAACATCATCAAAAGGATTCTCCTTCCCATCCTCCTCTTCTTCCTTCTCGTGAGACTCGAATTGTTCATCATGGAGCTCTCTCATTCTTGCACTCCTATGAAGTTCATAAACTTGCTCACTAGTTACCAATGCAATTTTTTTTTTAAATCCTTGGTCCCCCATCTCGCTTAAACGCGTGTCTCTTTTCCTAATCAAGCTTCTTGATGAATCATGCATAACTCTGTCTAAGTATTATGAACGTCTAATTATCTTCCTAAAGCATATATGCGAAATATTTTGTCGCTACCTACCTAGCGCCTAGACGCAACTATATGTAGAATTAAGCATTCTTGAACCCTAAAAAAAACATGTGAAGAAGAAGCTAAAAAATCATAAACCATGCTCTTTCATATCTAAACTTATCGAAAAGTGTATTAACTCGATTGTTTGCTTTATAAAAGAGAAATTGAGGACCGTATTGTATATTTTCTGGAGGCTGGTCCTTGTTGCATATCGTAAGGAAATATTGTGACCTATTAACACATTTGTCGGAGGAAAAGAAGGACACGCACGAATTACGAAACCTTCACAGTTTTTTTTTTTCCTCTCCAAAAAACTCGAGGCCTTTTCCTTCAAGGACTAGGATTCCCAGCCCCCAGTGCAAAACCCTAGCCGTTTCTTTTCCGCCATCTCTGCCTCCATTGATAAACAATCCGCAGAGAATCTGATTTCTTTCATATTCCTCAGCCATCAGACTGTTAATACTTGTGGGAAATTCAAGGGTTGCTTTGCTCCTTTTCTCTGTTCTTTTATCTATTTTGTTCTTTTATAGGACGGCGATGAATCCTCCCAGCAATTTGGTTGAATTTGCAAAAGAGCTCATGCCCGCCGGGATGAAATTCTGCCCGACCGATCAAGAGCTGATAGCCCACTACCTCCACCGCAAGATCACCGGCGGGCTGACCAGGTTCCAGACGGAGATTGTGAAGGAGTGCGATTTGTACGGGGAGGAGGAGCCGTGGCAGATATGGGATAGGTTCAAGGCCGAGACGGTGGTGGATATGGAGCAGAACCTCTACTTCTTCACTCGGCTCAAGTCCAAGAGTACGAACGGGAAGAGGATTCTCCGGCGGGTGGGGAAGAACGAAGGGACCTGGCACGGCGAGGATGCCGGCTCGAAGATCAATTGCTGGTCCGAGGCCGAGGGCAAGAATGTTTACCTCACAGGGTTCAAGAAGCGTTTCAATTACAGGAACCTCAAGTCGGACCAGAACGGGCAGTGGATTATGCACGAGTTCAGTTTGAGCAACACCGAGTATGTGATCTGCCGGCTGAAGAATAACAGGGCTGTTCCCGTTCCCTCCACGCCCTTGCTTCCGCTTCCTCCTGCTCCTCTGCAGCTTGAAGATGTTCCCGAGAGGTCCAATTCGCTGGGTGTTAGGAATTTAGATGTAAATAGCTCTGTAGAAACTAATCAGCTGCCCAAAGATGATGGGCGGAAGGAACAGATTCTTGCGGAAAAGAGTGACCAAGCGACGGGGAGGGATGGAAGTCAGCAGGCGAAGGAGAGTGATCGAGAGGTGGATGTTCAGAAGGAGGAGAAAGCTGCTGCTGCTGGTTCTCTGGCAAAACCCGGTATGGATAATGGACAGGGTTGTGAAAATCCAAAGAGAATTGATGGAGAAACGGATGAGCAGAAGAAGGGAAAGGCTGCTCCTGCTCAGGCAAAGAATGATGGGGAAAAGAGTCCCCAATGCAAGGGTGGTGATGACTTTGATAAGGCCAAGAAGAGTGACCACAGAGAACTAAATGAGCAGAAGAAAAAGGAGAAAGCTGCTTCTGTTGAAGGGAATGAGCGGAGTGATGGCGGAAAGAAAGAGCAGAAGAAGAAGAAGAGGGTGGGTGGTAGACTGTTAAAGAAAGTGGACCAAGTATTCGAGGCCTCGCCCAAGGCAGGGAAGCGACCAAGAGTAGAGGAAGAAGGTCCAGGGGAAGATGAAGCCACTTGTTCTAGCAAAGATAAGAAGGCACGAGGCCAGATGGACTTGCTAATGGAGGTTCTGGGGATAGAATTTTGATTCTGGTCTTGGTTCCTTTTCTCCTTCAGCTGTACAAATAGGTCTTCTCTCTTTGTTCATTTCCCAGGATTCAGATTTGGTTTCTGTTTTCTTTTGCTCCATTTGGTCATTTCGTAGTGTCTAAAAGGCCTGCTCCATAGCAAGTGCTATGTTCGAGGTGTTGAAGCGAAAATTTACTTGGTTCTTGGGTGAAATGAGATAAATGTTTGATTATGGATCGAACATAGCAAGTGCTATGTTCGAGGTGTTGAAGCGAATTACTTGGTTCTTGGGTGAAATGAGATAAATGTTTGATTATGGATCGATTTTCTGATGTGTTTACGAGTTTCTGACCTGTATCTAGTATGAAGAAGATAATATTGGCAATGGGAAGAGTTATTGGCATCTACTTATCATGAACTTCTGGGATTTTAATGGAGGGGGTGCTGTATTCGAAGGCCTTCTGCTTCTTTATTTAGTAAGCACTAGTTGATATCCCAATCCAGGACTTGTGCATTTGAAGACCTTTCGGTTAACTCTACATAAGAGCAATTGGCGGGAGTCAAGTGAAAGTGTTTCTTCTGGGAGAAGCCTTTAAGTGTCTTACAGCCAATCCTAAGCACTTCGACAATGCCCTCCAGATTTGCTGCAAGGTCAATTTTGTCAGCAACTGCTTCATCACAGGTATTACAAATATTGTTGTTGACTTGAGGATGATTAAGGTACTAGTTAGATCTATATGGTGTATTCTTCTTCTTTGCCATGGCGCGGAGAGGGGGAGCTCGATGATAGTCTGGTTTCTATCCAACTTTGTGATTGCATGTAATTGCAGATAGTATACAATGCATAGTTAATTTTCAATACTTGAAGCATGAGAAGTACATGTTGGTTCAGAGATTCGACCCATCGGCAGTAATAGATAAAGCATTTCAATCTCAATTCAGCTCAGGAAAGAGTCTCTTTATAGTTTCCTGTTTGGGGAAACGTTCATACTTCTAAAATAAAAAGCTGCAACCGGAAGCTGGTTCAGGGCAAGATCTTATATACTATCAGAGAAGGTGCAAAGCGTACACTGGAGGCTTTTTTTTTTGCGCTGATGTATCAGTTATTTGATGCTTTTGCTCACATTGTACTTTCTCGCTCTCTGAGACGTCCTTGAAATTAGATCTAATGTGAAGAGAAGCTTCTGATCTTGTAAGTAAGTTCATGGTGGTTAGATACGCAGGAACTTGTAGGTGCGTACTTAGATGAGGGAGGACTATATATTCTCCATTCCAAGTATCATGACTTTTCGATTCTCCAGAAATCAGAGTTACTGCAGTGAGCACAATTCATATTTCTGATTATTAATATCGTTGTTGTTGTTATTATAATTATGCCTATCTTCTCTTTGTTCCATAACTGCGGAATCCTTGAAACCATTTTTCCTCAACTTATACTTGTCGAAGTTTTGCAGGTGACGAAAGGAATGACGTTTTGCAGATGCATCCAGTGGATGTAGCAGGGCTCAGCAAATTACATGGAGAGCAAAGCTGTCACTGATGCCAAGAGTTTGGTGGACGAGCTATATCTGCAGTTGTGTACACAGACCAGCTTATTGTCATGTCTCCTTCTGGTAAAACTCTCACTCTATCCTCTGAAAAATACATGTCCCCTTGAATTTCCGATGACCCTTTGACGAATCGCTTTCTATCTCGTGCAGGTATCCCAACAGAACAAATGGTTCCACAAGATATGTGCGTTATGTGGTCACAAGGGTTCGTGTTGTCAAGTTCTAGCCACAAATCCAATTCGCATCCCCCACAGCGCGCACCTGCAAAGTGTACTGATTCTGCTTCTCTGTTTATGAAGGTGGATTATCCATCTGACTCTGCTTCTCCTCCAAGTTTACAATTTGCTGTTGTACATTTATGGTTAGTCTTCTATTCACTGATAAGTTTGAGTTTCACGATTCCTTAATAGGTTACTTATTCTTAGGATCGTTATAATAGCTAGTTGTCTGACGCATTTACAACAGATTATACAAGGAATTTAACTTGATATTAGTGCCTTCACTCACAGATCTTGTGTTTGAATCCTTGTGGACTCAGTAGTAAGAGTTGATTCAAGTACAAAACTGTGGTAAAATGAAGCTTATAATTTGGTCAGAAAAGGACGTGTAAGAGAATGTAGCTTTGTTTATCTCCACATCTGAAATCCGAATTAACGAATGCAGCTACAAGTCTGATACAAACGTCAAGTCGTCTTCACGCGCCAACGCTTCCTAGATAATAAATCGGAGGGAAGGCCCGTAGATGCTCGCCTTCGGCACAACTGTTTCTAATTCGGCCTATACTTCAGCTCCCGATCCACTGAATAAACGACAATCTTACTATGTGAAAAAACTTCGATGTGACAATGAGAACAGAAGCACCTCAGTTTGTGGATCAAAGTCCACGACTAGGATGACAATCAAACTCATGGCCGCGGGTACTCGACCGCCCCCGATCCAGTCAACGCGGGGAATTTCCGTTTTAACCGGGTATGGGGTCGGGCTGGTATGGGTAAAACCCGCAAAAAGTTTGATGGGTATGGGGCGGGTATGGTTTTAGCCTCCCCGCCCCATACCCATACCCATATCCGCCCCATCAAGAGAATTTCTTCACATATACAAAATATATGGATAAAATTGTAATCTATCAATGGTGATGATGATACCTCGAGGAAATAAATAGTAGAAATGCAATTGAGTGACCACGTTAATAAAAACCTAATTCATTTCTCTCCATTCTCCTTTCACTCTTTCACTTTCCCCCTTGTCAACAAGATTATGTTAGTTAATTATTACTTAGTAGATGTATCAGAGTTAGAACATAATAATTTGAAAAATATTATACTCTATATTATGTATTAATGAATGTTTTAGGATCATATTCTTTGAACCGTATTAAGAAAATGATCGCGTTTTGTTGAATTTGTGATATAATAGGTACGTTTAGAGTTGTAGTTAAAACTTTTCATGTAAATTTTAGGATAATAATGTTGGATGTACGCGTATAGGGATGGGTTTGCTAAACATTCGCCCGCATGGGTATGGGGCGGATATGGGTTTGGATATTTGAAGATGGGGATGAGGATGGTTTAGCCAAACCCGCCCCATTGCCATCCCTATCCACGACCAACTTCTTAAAAGTTAAAACCCAAAAGCCCATTTGAGAGAGACTATCTCGCTTTAAGAGTTGTTTAAATTAGGGGTGTTGAAATGGTTGTCATACTAATTATCAAATTAAATAAGTCTAAATTCTATCAACCATGAAATATGATATTATAATCAAATCGTCCAAATTAATAAAAAAACCAAATTAATCTAGTTAAAGTTTAATCAGGTTAATTGGTTAACCAAAATAACCAATATACCATTACATTATCATTAAGTGAGAATTTGTTTTCAGTTAGTGCATTAATTCACAATTTATATAGTGAATAACACATCTTTGGTGGAACATTTCTGTTTCCCACCTCCAATCAATAAATAAAAAATATAGTGAATAACACATAACGATCAACACAAAATTATTGTTAACCCTTAACATATAAATACATGTAACTAATAGAATTATCTCACATTTGACTCTTGAGTGGTTATGCAAAATATTAAGTATTTAAAAAAATACATTATTGTTATTAAACTAAGAAAAATATAAACAACTACAAGAGAAGATTAGAGAGGGAAAGACACAAGAGAAGATAGGGGAAGACTTCTTCTTATTCATTCTTCACTTTTGATACAATGGTGTGTTATATTTATAGGCACACTTTGGTAACTACTACATCCTTATATCAATGCATATGAATGAGAGATAATGATGTAGAAATAGGGGTTACATGTAACTCCCAAGTGAGCATCTGATGTGGTAGGTCATTGGTCATCCATATATCAATATTTACATAATACTCCCCCTTGGATGACCACTAGATTGCATTACGCTATATCATACTGCCTCGTTACAAACCTTACCAGGAAAACTCATTGGGAAAAAACCATGGTTAAGGGAAAAAGAGTGCAGTGCGTATATACTCCCCCTCATGATCACATCACTTCAGATTATTGAGTCGTTGAACTCAAATTTCATGAACAATTTTTAGAAAGATTGTTGTCGGGAGTGAGTTAGTGAACAATCTTCTAGATTGTCAATTTGATGCATGATCTTTAGATTTTCTTCATGCATGATCGTCAGGATCATTTCATTTGAAAATAGTTCACAACCACAAGTACTTGAGATATGGTGGATCACAAAGTGTAACGAAATACATTAAGGACTTGCCCATTATAGTTTGTTTTGTTTCTTTATGAAACATTTATATCACCATATGTAAGAGATAGCTCGTCTCCGATAAACCAATATGAGGATCAAATGATATATAGGATTTGGATATATAGTTTATCAAATCTCTCTTTGATAATACCATAATAGAACAATCGCATATATTGTTCCTGGAGGTAACAAAGTATTTTCCAACGTTCTAATGAGGGAAACATTGTATCTTGCCAATATTATCAACACCAAAATGATAGTTTATATGGTGCTTGGCTAGCAAGGTGCATTGGTGCTCTAATGCATCAACATATGGTACTTCATGACCTAATGTTTCACTTCTTTCTTGATTTCTAAATGGATCTTTGGTCACTTCTAGTGATCTTAGGATCCGAATGTTATTTGATGAACACAATTCGTTCATGCAAAATTACTTTCCCACTTTTTCAACATTACCTTCCTTGCTCATAAAAAGGATCTTAAATCCTTCAATTTTACTTATGTCTCGAAGCAATCAACTGCTTTAGGAAGCTCTTCAGGAGATCCAATAATAGTCATATCATTAACATAATATGAGATCGTACAAAAAAACTTAACTAACACAAATTGATGCAAGCAATTCTTTCATATAACGAAAGATAATAACAAAACTCACATCATAGAAACATATGAACTATAAAAAGCACACTCATAAAACACAACTCATACTTTAAAAGTAAATCACAACTCATAAATCAAGAATTTAAAATCCTTGAAACACATACAGACAACACAACTATATATGGACAATGCAAATACTCGTATGCACTCTATCTGAATTTAACCTTTTAAGGTCCATTCACCCTACTGTTGTAGGTGTTCACTTAGACGAGTATTTCACATTCGTCTATATTGTCTCAACCCACACAAGGGATTTTCTTAGTCTATCTATATATGTTCTCGAGAACTTTACTTGTTTACTTCAGGTAAATTAATCCTTCTAGGAGTAATTAATCCTTCTGGGAGTTTCAAATATATTTAACATCTTCAGGGAATTCAAACAAATAGGCTATCACAATAATTTTTAAACATTGATTTGAAAAAATAGTTGCATCCACCACAAGGGAGTATAACTCCTCTTAAACAATGATAGGTCTCTTCGAGAAACCCATTGCAAAACATTATGCGATATCTCTCACAATTTCATACTTTCCAATAGCACAAAAAATTGTTTATATCCCGCTAGTTTTGCCATTTTTTAGGTGCAAGGACTTTTGGTCCTTAAACTTTATGCTCCTTGAGCAAGTTTCATGATTTCTTTCTATATTGGCCAATAACATCATCATTTGCATGTATCAATAGAGTTTTACTCTTGATCCTCACTTGTACATATCATATTCAGTACTGAAGTACAACAAACAAATTTCATCGACAATGATTTCATTACGGTTCTAGTATTGTAGTCTAATATGGTTTTGAGATCTCTTCACTTTCATAACTTTCAGAGACATGCGTTCTTCTGGAACTAAAATTATATTTTATTCTTGGTTACTCTTCTTGAGTTTTCATGTCATCGAGTTGACCATTCTAATTACAGCTTCTTTTCTTTCTCAAGGATGTTTATCATTGGAACCAATTGGTCTATCACGCTTCATGCGCTCTTTCATACACATTTTTTTATATATTAGAGTATCCAACAAGGATGTCAAATTTAGTTGGAGCATTCACAGATAGTATATGTGACTTGGTCACTTCGCATGACCAGTAAAGGCATTTGATAGTTGGTAACGATAATTCATCTTATGAACTTCAGGTTCATGTTTCTTACTTTGAGGATCAAAACTAGATAATGATAACTCATTCCAACTCATCTCTTTGTCTAGCTGTTTTTTTTCTCTCCCCCTTAATGTTGGAAAAGTGATTCATCAAAACAATAATTTCGCAAACAAATTTCCCATTTGGGATTCATACCCAACACAAATTCTCAATTTCCAACGAGAATCAACTTAAGATACTATGGTGGAGTAATTGGGATGTATGCGGCACACCCTGATATTCTCATATGAGAAATGTTAGGTTTTGACCAAAATTATTTGTAAAAGGGGGGAACTTATGATTACTTGTTGGTTAGATGTGAACCAATACTATCACTTGCCAGATAGCATGTCCTCGACAAGAGACCAGAAGACTTAGTTTGTTCTCTTAAGCAAAGTGATGTTTGATTGGATAACCATGAAAATGTATTCATAGTGAGGCAATCAATCTCGCAAACATCGGGTTGCGATTAGATAAAATAAAAGTGATCATATAAAATCTCAAGAGATTTGCCAACTCTTATACATGCTCTGATCAATTGTTCTATTTTTTTTGAGAACAAACATGGCATAATAACTCTTTTAGTTGAAGAGTTCTTTGACTTCTCATATGATGTTCTCATGAATTCTTAAAGAAATTTTTTCACATCAAGATCCTTGATGGTCTAACCGGACAAACCAATTATCAAGTTATCAAATCTTGTAAACTTCCGGTTTACACTTTTATGTGTACGGATTGTACTAATATACATGCAGTACATATTTGTTATGCAAATATTAGTTTC